CCCTCCCTCCCACTTATAAGTGAGGACATGCAGTGTTTCTCTTTCTGTTCCTGGCTTATCTCACTTAACGTCATTTTCTCCAAGCTCATCCATGTTGCTGTGAATGGCAGAATTTCATTCTTTTATGGCTGAATAGTATTCCATTGTGTATATATATCACATTTTCTTTATCCAGTCGTCCATCGATGGATATTTGGGTTGGTTCCATATCTTGGCTATTGTATATAGAGCTACGATGAACATAGGAGTGCAGGTATCCCTTCAACATGATGATTTCATTCTTTTGGGTATATTCCCAGCAGTGGGATTGCTGGATCATACGGCAGTTCTACCTGTAGTTGTTTGAGAAACCTCCATTCTGTTTTCCATAATGGCTGAACCAATTTATAGTCCCACCAACAGTGTAGAAGCGTTCCCCTTTCTCCACGTCCTCGTCAGCATTTGTTATTCTCAGTCTTTTTGACAATAGCCAGTCTAACTGGGGTGAGATAATAGCTCAGTGTAGTTTTGGTTTGCATTTCCCTGATGATTAGTGATGTGGAGCATTTTCTCATGTGCCTGTTGGCCATTTTTATGTCTACTTTGGGAAAATGTCTACTCAGGTCCTTTGTCCATTTTTTAATTGATTTATGTGTTTTTGTTTTTCATATTGAGTTATGTGAGTTCCTTACATAATTTGGATATTAACACCTTATCAGATATGGTTCACAAATATTTTCTCCCAATCTGTAGGCTGCCTTTTCATTTTGCTGATTGTTTCCTTTGCTGTGCAAAAGCTTTTTAGTTTGATGCAATCTTGTTTACTTTTGCTTTTGTTTCCTGTGCTCTTTGTGTCCTATTCAAAAAATTATTGCCAAAACCAATATCAAGGAGGCAAGGAGTTCTTCCCCTAAGTTTTCTTCCTGTAGTTTTACAGTTTCAGGTATTACATTTAGGTCTCTAATCTATTTTGACTTGATTTTTGTGTCTGGTATAAGATAAGGGTCTGATTTCATTCTTTTGCATGTGATATCAGTTTTCTCAGCACCATTTATTTTAAAAAAGTATTAGGGTCTTATTCATAGTTTTTGCCCAGATCTACATCCTGAAGTGTTTCCCCTATGTTTTTTTCTAGGAGTTTTATAGTTTCAGGTAGTATACTTAAGCCTTTAATCTGTTTTGAGTTGATTTTGGTATATGGTGAGAGGTACAGGTCTGGTTTCATTCTTCTGCACATGGATGTCCAGTTCTCCCAGCACCATTTACTGAAGAGGCTGTCCTTTCCCCAATGTACATTCTTGGTGCCTTTGTCAAAGATCAATTGGCTGTAAATACCTGGGTTGATTTCTGGGTAATTTTTTCTGTTCCATTGGTCTACCCAAAACAATCTGCAGATTCAGTGCAATCCCCATCAAAATACCAATGACATTCCTCACAGAAATAGAAAAGCATAACATTTTATATACTAAAATACATCCAATCACTTCGTGTTTCTCAGCTGGAGTCTTTGGTTATGTTTTAAACCAATAACCAGTTGAAAGCGGAAACGAAAAAATTAGGCTTATTCAATTTGTTTCAGAGTCAATTTAAGATGCAAAATTGTATCTGGCTTTTTAGTTTCCAGTTGATCCACTACCTATCAGGGGCACCTCTAGTTTAAGTTTCTAATCAGAGTTTATTGTTAAAATATGTATTTATTGAGCACCTACTGTATGCCAGACCTTGTTCTAGGCACTGGAGATACAGCAGAGCACAGAACCAACAAAAATCTCTGCCCTGTGGAGCTTATGTTCTAGTGTCATTTATTTGTGAAGTTCTTTTCTATAGGTTTATTTCCATAGTTTTATTTCTGCAGAAGCAATTTGTATTTTTGAGAACTCTTCAAGGTATGCGATTTCACAATTAATACTCTCATTGCTATAACATATTGAAGATCATGTATGTTGTTAAAATGCTGTATGTATTTATTTTTCTTTTTGAGAATTCAACCATTATCATTATACAAATCTCAAATTTTTTTTATATGGCTGAAGGAAATAGTTCCAGCCTTTACGTATTTCTTTATATAAACTTTTAAATATTTATAATGAAAATATTTATATATTCATCCAAAGCAGTTGATAAAGTTGTGCTCATTCTGAGGGAAAATATCTAAAACCTAAGTTTGTTGTTTTGGTTACATAAACAGTGTGTACTTATACCATCACCCAGTTAAAATTCTGATCAGTTGACTGTTCTAAAGGATGCTATGACTTTAAGAAAATTTCTCCCTGCATTCAAAACAATTAGTTGTTAGTGATAATTATAAAATCAGCAGCTGAAGCCCATAAAAGCATTTGCATCAGGGAAAAAAAAGTAAAAATCTGCCATGACTGAGAGGAAATTAATGTGAGAAGTTCCTGTGTCCTCAGATGTACGGATGAAAACATTCTGCTGGTTTCAGAGTATGAGAATGAAAGATTAATTGAATAAATACTGAAGAAAGAAGGCATCTTCGTGGTTCAAAAGGAAAATAAAAGAGAAGCAACAGTCTCCCTTCTGACCAGCAGGGAGCAAGTGCAA